AAATTTGTTCAATACATTTAAAAAAAAAAAGGAAAACATTTAAAAAATGTTACAGTTTTTTTTTTGGGGGGGGGGAGTAGTCGGGGTGAGGGGGTGCCAAGCCCAGGATCCGCCCCGGGTGCCAAATGCTCTAGGTACGCCCCTGCCTGTTATACAGTCTGAGACAGAGAAAAGGTGTATGTAGTGAGTGTAGAAGAAAGGGAACGTGCAACAGTGTTACAGAGACCAAAGCAGCAAGAGGATTTGCATAGTGCACAAAGTCAGCGCACAAGTTTTGTTACCCTACATCCACATATGAAGAATAGTAAAAACGGGGTGCAGAGTGCAATCGCCAGTTAACTGTCAGAAAGAAAAGTGTTCCCTTTCTGTCAGTCACTCCATGTAGCGAGGCTGAGCATCAGTGTGTCTGTAAAATCATGTTTAGCTAGGTAATATAATTTATTTGGGCTCCTTTAGCTGTCCTTAGAAATTAAATAATTTTTCACTATTTGCCCTTTAACACTCTCTTACTAGTGTATATCTCAATACCCTTCTATCAGAGTACTGTCTGCTTGCTGCAAAATGATGTGTGTGCCGTTTTGGTAAACCCTGGTCATTCCAGCAACACACACGCAGGTTCTGGGTGCGCAGGGATGACTTTTGCTGATGACAAACAAAATATAGGTCCTGGATTATGTCACCCTGTTGTGGCATTGTTATTATTATTATTGCCATTTATATAGCGCCAACAGATTCCGTAGCGCTTTACAATGTTATGAGAGGGGGATTTAACTATAAATAGGACAATTAAAAAAAAAAAACTTACAGGAACGATAGATTGGAGAGGACCCTGCTCAGAGAGCTTACATTCTATAGAAGGTGGGGTGTAAAACACAATAGGACAGGAACCCTAATGTTCTCCATAGTATTTTCTTTATGGTTATTGACTTGGCATGCACTTAACTTTCCTTAAGTCTGGTAACACTGAATTGTCTTGGCTGGGTCTCATACACTCAACCTTGGCATGGTCCTCAGTTTTTCATTTGCTCTTTCACCTACTGTAGCTTTTTGTCTTAAGCCTGGCCATCCTAAGGACTGGCAATATGCATCTATTTTCTTCCTAGCATAGTGTGGGTCAAAGTACTGTGCGTACTGTGACACATTTATCCTTCCCCTTTCTGCTACTTCAACCCATATTAATCCCCATTTCTCCTCCACCTTGCCTCTCCAATCATACTCTGCCCCTATTGCAAAATCCTTCCTCCTCGATACACACTGCTCTTCTTTCCCCTCTCTTCATCAGTCAGACATTTACATTATATCCCAAAGCTGCTTTCTTCTTATAATTTAATTTAACTTAATGCTGTAACTTAATGCTGTAGCAAATCTCACTGCATGTTACTGTTTTTATGTATGGATGCCAAGACATGCCATTGAATTTTGGCTTTACTTATTTAAAAAATGATGTTTTTTGGGGGGGGAGTAGGGGAAATTTACAAACTGCTCAAATTAAAGGGGGCTGGCACTTCTGATTTTTAATATTAGAATGTTAATAGCTGTTAGTTGTAAGCTCCCTCCTTTGCATCTGGCAATAAGAAGAGAAAGCATACTCATAAGAGAAGAAATAAAACAATGTCTCTGCTTACCATCTCATTTGCATTGAGTGCCCTAGCTGTACCTTGACTGAACTGGATTGTGATGTCATTTGATAAGCCGTTCATATAAATTTAGAAGTAAACTGAGATCACATGAAAAAAGGTTAACACAAGTTCTAAGCAATTTTCAGTCTTTTATTTAGTGGTGTAATTTCGAGAGAAATGACGGTTCCCCTTTAAACTTCCCCTAAGCCTTCCCTATCACATCTTGCCATTTGGCTCACTAGATATATATTCATATTAATTGCACTGAAAACCACAAGGAAAACCCTCATTCAGGATCTTTATAGATAATTAAAAATCCGTTATGCGATAGAGATAGACAAAATGTAGTTCCTCTTTCATAACCTCTTGTCTGCTAATCGTAGCTAAGATGAACTTCAATTTCCCTATAACATTGGGACTCCCCAGACACCCTCCTTCTGGTCCCCTCATCTTTTTCAGTCTTCTTTCTTTGGTCTTCCACTCTGAGGATTTTTCTTCTCTGCCTTCCCTCCATCCTTTTTATCCTTTGATATATTTTTTCTTTGCTCATCTCTAATCATCATCTTTATTTTGCATATATATCTCTGTTTGTTTCTGTTTACTTCTAAACTGATGTTGATGTTAAAATATGCTTCCCACCAAACTCAACTATTATTGATTTGAGGAAAATAAAATAGTTGAAATCTTTAAAGAGCATTGATTTCAGACAGTTCTCCTTTGGCTATTTGAGTATTAAAAAGCTGATTTTTGTAGTGAAGCCTACCTGCATCATCAGAGTGAGTAGTGACAGGCACTGAAACACATTGGATTTCTTGATTAAATGACATCCTAAATATACACAGCTGGAGGGCTTGCCATAAAGTTGAAGTATTATGAGATATCTAGTCAGCTAAACATAAAGCCTTTTGTCCAGTCTCAGAAACATAGAATGTGATGGCAGATAAGAACCATTTGGCGCATCAAGTCTGCCCAATTTCCTAAATACTTTCATTAGTCCCTAGCCTTATCTAATAGTGAGGACAGCCTTATGCATATCCCACGCATGCTTAAACTCCTTTACTATGTTAACCTCTACCACTTCAGCTGGAAGGCTATTCCATGTATCAACTACGCTCTCAGTAAAGTAATACTTCCTGATATTATTTGTAAAACCTTTGCCCCTCTGATTTAAGACTATGTCCTCTTGTTGTGGTAGTTTTTCTTCTTTTAAATATAGTCTCCTCCTTAACTATGTTGATTCCCTTTATGTATTTAAATATGTTTCTATCATATCCCCCCATCTCGTCTTTTCACCAAGCTATACATGTTAAGATCCTTTAACCTTTCTTGTGTGTTCACTTAACTACTGATTTGGCTTATTTGCATATTGTTATGGTCTGCTGATGTCCTATTGTTCTGTGCCTAGAGGGATAAAAGTCATTATTCGTTTATGAAGCCTATAAGTCAAAGTGATTACTTGCGGTTGATGACCTTGTGATTGGGATCAATCTGATATGATGTTCATATACAGGGAGTGCAGAATTATTAGGCAAGTTGTATTTTTGAGGATTAATTTTATTATCGAACAACAACCATGTTCTCAATGAACCCAAAAAACTCATTAATATCAAAGCTGAATATTTTTGGAAGTAGTTTTTAGTTTGTTTTTAGTTTTAGCTATGTTAGGGGGATATCTGTGTGTGCAGGTGACTATTACTGTGCATAATTATTAGGCAACTTAACAAAAAACAAATATATACCCATTTCAATTATTTATTATTACCAGTGAAACCAATATAACATCTCAACATTCACAAATATACATTTCTGACATTCAAAAACAAAACAAAAACAAATCAGTGACCAATATAGCCACCTTTCTTTGCAAGGACACTCAAAAGCCTGCCATCCATGGATTCTGTCAGTGTTTTGATCTGTTCACCATCAACATTGCGTGCAGCAGCAACCACAGCCTCCCAGACACTGTTCAGAGAGGTGTACTGTTTTCCCTCCTTGTAAATCTCACATTTGATGATGGACCACAGGTTCTCAATGGGGTTCAGATCAGGTGAACAAGGAGGCCATGTCATTAGATTTTCTTCTTTTATACCCTTTCTTGCCAGCCACGCTGTGGAGTACTTGGACGCGTGTGATGGAGCATTGTCCTGCATGAAAATCATGTTTTTCTTGAAGGATGCAGACTTCTTCCTGTACCACTGCTTGAAGAAGGTGTCTTCCAGGAACTGGCAGTAGGACTGGGAGTTGAGCTTGACTCCATCCTCAACCCGAAAAAGGCCCCACAAGCTCATCTTTGATGATACCAGCCCAAACCAGTACTCCACCTCCACCTTGCTGGCGTCTGAGTCGGACTGGAGCTCTCTGCCCTTTACCAATCCAGCCACGGGCCCATCCATCTGGCCCATCAAGACTCACTCTCATTTCATCAGTCCATAAAACCTTAGAAAAATCAGTCTTGAGATATTTCTTGGCCCAGTCTTGACGTTTCAGCTTGTGTGTCTTGTTCAGTGGTGGTCGTCTTTCAGCCTTTCTTACCTTGGCCATGTCTCTGAGTATTGCACACCTTGTGCTTTTGGGCACTCCAGTGATGTTGCAGCTCTGAAATATGGCCAAACTGGTGGCAAGTGGCATCGTGGCAGCTGCACGCTTGACTTTTCTCAGTTCATGGGCAGTTATTTTGCGCCTTGGTTTTTCCACACGCTTCTTGCGACCCTGTTGACTATTTTGAATGAAACGCTTGATTGTTCGATGATCACGCTTCAGAAGCTTTGCAATTTTAAGAGTGCTGCATCCCTCTGCAAGATATCTCACTATTTTTGACTTTTCTGAGCCTGTCAAGTCCTTCTTTTGACCCATTTTGCCAAAGGAAAGGAAGTTGCCTAATAATTATGCACACCTGATATAGGGTGTTGATGTCATTAGACCACACCCCTTCTCATTACAGAGATGCACATCACCTAATATGCTTAATTGGTAGTAGGCTTTCGAGCCTATACAGCTTGGAGTAAGACAACATGCATAAAGAGGATGATGTGGTCAAAATACTCATTTGCCTAATAATTCTGCACTCCCTGTAAATACATGGTATTGGTTCCATCTGTCATAGCATGAATGAGAGAAAATGTATTTAAAATTTGAAAGGGAACTAACCTTAAATACTAAAGTGCTAAGGTAAGAGATTAAATTGTTATCAAGTCGTAATTATCTATATGTTCCGGCCTTTAAGATAAAATGTTTAACAATATCATATAAAGTCAATGTTCCCCAATGTAACACTGCTAGAAAATCTTCCCGAGGGATATTAAATACATTTGTTAAAATTAGTGGTTGAATGTTCATAGCTGTGAAAATTGAGTGCAAGAGACATTAAATATCCAGCCCTTTATTATTATTATTATGATCGCCATTTATATAGCGCCAACAGATTCCGTAGTGCTTTACAATATTATAAGATAGGGGACAATTACAAGAAAACTTACAGGAACGATAGGTTGAAGAGGACCCTGCTCAAACAAGCTTACAGTCTATAGGAGGTGGGGTATAAAACACAATAGGACAGGAAATAGCAATCAGATAAGGTGGGAGTGAAGCAGAGCTGGAGGAGAGAGTAGAGTGCTGCCCTTTAGGAGAGAGCAAACGTAGTCATGAAGGATAAACATAGTAGGAAGTATTATGCAAATGAACTAGGTGACTTACTCATTACTCTTACACACACAAAAAAAGAGGGCCACTAAAATAGTTTTGAACTTTTTTTTGGGAGGGGGGGGGGCTGATTCAAAAGAAAGACTAGAAATAATCTGGACTTTTTTGTGCAGTGAGCTGTAAATTGGAGCTAAAGAACATAATTTAATTTGTTTTTATGTATTTATTTTTTTAAAATTAATTTTACTTTATGAAAAAATACAGTCACTCTAATCTAATATCCCCTGTTATTGAGCCATGTAAACATATTGCAAAGATCAAAAATAAAATATACAAAAATACTGTTAGTGAAGCTATGAGATCGGATTAGCCCACAGCTACAGATTTAGCTAGTCTTTGATGCTTCATATCTGCCAAACAACAACTTACCTTCCGTGATGGCTCCGTCAAAGCAACTAAAGCTTGTGTATCCTATCCTCTCAGGGAAGTAGGTTCCATTCATAAGCCTTCATAAGATAGCAGTTACTGCAAGTAACCATCGCTCTCCTCTGAGGCTCCATCGGAGCCAGAATCACACTACACCTCTTCTCAGATGAGGTACCAATTACTGGAAAATGTAAACATTCCATGCTTCAAGCTCTTTGAACCACCATCCAAACAGACTTTAGACAAATTAGGGCAGAAGTCTATAAAGATTTCACAAAGCTAGGAGACAGAGAAAGTCATCCTATGTACAGACGTATTACAATGAAGTGATAGATAAGTAACAGAAGCTGGAGGAAGAACACCTAACCTTGCACCACACGTTCATCACAATCACTACAACTGCCTTATCGGTGGGGATACGCTACTAAACTAATCCTTTGGCCAATTGGCATTCTTCACACAATTTCTACCCACAGTGAAAGTATGAAGTAACTGGCGGAATGGTACCTGATGGCATCGCAGTCTACTCCTTTGATCCATCGACACTTGCCACCAAAGGTGACCCCAGAGTGGAAACTGGCTGGTTCTCCTGAGTTATTGGGCAGACTAGATGGGACGAATGGTTCTTATCTGCCGTCAGATTCTATTTTGCCATGTTTCTATTCTTCAATTATACACATCTGGTCTTCAAAGATCTCAGGGCACTCACATAACCGGCTCCTTGCGACATTGAACTCTGTGGTGTGACATTGAACCTTGTGCCAATCCACATTTGTTCAAAGATATCCATGTCAGGCATCCTTTACTTTTTTGTTAGAATATGCTATGTCATTGTTCTTTTATATTGTATACAAGTATCCAGCCTAAATTGTTGGCAAAGTTGAGCAGGGTTTCTAATGGATTTCCCCCCAAAGATATCTGAGATAATGTCCCCTAAGGATATCATTATGCTATTCATAATATCATTATATATATGCAGTTGTAATCAAAAGTATCAACCCTCATTGAAAATAAAGTTTATAGATTTTTACAGACTTTCAGCTGTTTGCAACAAACAAATTAAACAAAAGCAATTCAAATAGCTTAACACAACACATGCTTCAAGTGTTTTCCCCAAATTCAACTAAAAATTTAATAATTTTGATTACGACTGTATTTTGATATTTCCAAGTCTCCAATAGTAGGGGTTGGTGCTCCAGGGATGCTGTTCCCTTTCCCAACATGACAATGGGCTCTGTCCAGGTTGCAATGGCAGTTCTAGACATTCAGCCAGGAGGGCAGAATTCAGTCCACTGCTCAAATGTCGATCAAGACACTTACTAGAATACTGTATCACTACTCAAGTGGAGTTTGCCAATTAGTTGATATCTATCTATTAAAAAGCCACATTATCCCAATACCTCACTATGGCTATGTCCAGGGCCAGATTAACAGCCCAGTGAGCCTGGTGCTGACAATTATGATGGGCCTAATTAAAGAATCATATCGACCAAAAACACTAAAACACTCCCAAGCGTCATGTATCTGATGGAGATGGTGCTGGAGAGAAAGAAAACAGCAGCTATAAGAAAACACATACCCTATGTTAATCTCCCTCTAACTTATGTTTTCATCTTTCAAGTAAATCCATAACCCCTAACAGCAGTGTCCAGACAAGCAGAAGGTCAATGGGCACGGTAAAAGGGTGTGCCACTGACAAAAATCATGTAACCTGCCAAAAGGGGTGAACATGCCCAAAAAGAGGACATGTCTGCCCAAAGAATTTGAAGGCCAGCCTGGCATGAATGCATGTCAGACTGCCTGCCAATCATGCAGCTGGCCAACTAAGGGCATACTATGCAGACAGCACCCTGAGCTTGGCATAAATGCTTTTAATGATGGGCTCGTTCAACGCTTTCTAAAGGACTGTCCCCTAGCACTCGCTGGTCCACTTGTCTCCTTACCTTCTTACTAGCAGGCAGATGCTCCTGGTATATAGTCTGGGACAAAGAAAAGCTGTATGTATTGAGTGTAGAAGAAAGGGAACATGCCACAGTGTTAGAGAGACCAAAGTCAGCATTACCTTAAAGAATCACTATAGGGTCAGGAACACAAACATGAATTCCTGACTCTATAGTGTTAACTCTATAGGCAGCCATGACCCAGGAATGATCTCTAACAGCCATCCAAGGAGTGGCCAGTGAAGTTATCACTAGGCTGTAATGTAAAGACTGCATTTTCTCTGAAAAGACAGTGTTTACAGCAAAAAGCCTGAAGGTCATGATTCTACTAACCAGAACAAATTCAATAAGCTGTAGTTGTTCTTGTGACTATAGTGTCCCTTTAACTACGGTATATTCATTGTCAACCAGTCCACACAAGTTTTGTTCCCATTCATCCCTCTTAAGTTTCCATACTTAAGTAAGAGTATGTTAAAAGTAGTTAGGGTTGCCACCTTTCTTGGAAAAACATACCGGCCTTACTAATTTGCATAATTAAATATGTATGGATGACATCACATGATGTAAATCACAAGGAGTGACATAAGAGAAAATGCTGTAAAATCACCAAAAAACTACTTAGTTTGATTATGCTGTATAGATGGATTCCTCCCAGTGCCCCCATGTTTCCCAGTGCCCCCATGTTTTGATTACTCCAGGTCTCAGTGTTCTATGTATCAGTTTCTCAGTGCCCCATGTCTCCCAGTGTCCCCTAGTGTCGTGTCCCCAGGTCTCCCAGTGACCCTATGTATCACAGTGTCCCTATGTATCACAGTGTCTCAATGCACCATGTCTCCCTGTATCCTCCATTATTCCCATGTGTCTATGTCCCCATGCATGTGTCACTAGGAAGACAGGGAGACCTGGGGACACGGGGAGACCTAGGGACACAGAGACACTGGGAAACTAGGGGACATTGGCTGGGACACTGGGAAAATAGGGGACACTTGAAGACATGGGGACACAGACACTAGAGACACTGGCTGGGGGACATGGGGATTGAGACATGGGGGCACTGGGAGACATGGGGACACAGACACCACGGCCACAGACACTAGGGACACTAGCTTGGAGACAAGGGGACATTGAGACACTTGAGGCACTGGGAGACATGGAGGCACTAGGAGACATGGGGACAGTGAGACACTGGGAGACTAGGGGTCACTGGGAGACTAGGGGGCACTGAGACACCAGGGACACTGGTTGGGAGACATGGGGACACTGGGAGACATGGGGACACTGTGTCTGCCATAATGTCTCCCAGTGTCCCTTAGTGTCTCAGTGTATGTCTCCCTGAAGCCTTTCCCCCCATCCCTTACTTCCCTGAGCTGTAGGCTGTCTCTGCAGGGTGGGAGTTGCTGTCTGGACTCTCTGTAGCTGCACCCCTGCAGATCAGTGAGTATAGATAGGCAGGGAGGGATATGCAGGAACTTCCTATCCCTGCCTGTCTCCACACACAGCGACCCCTACTGGCCAGTGCTGGTATTGCATAGTAATCTATTGTTTATACTGAGAAAAAATACCAGCATTTGTATTGCCAATATCACTGCAATATTGGCACCAGCCAGGCAGCCTCAAATACTGGCTGTGCCAATAAAATAAAAGCCAGGTGGAATCCCTAAGAGTAGTGTGTGAAAAAAAAAAAAATTAAAATTTTTATTTTTTATTTTTTTTAAATCAATGGGCCTATTCCATGGGCCTGGGCCTGGGCCTGGGCCTGGAGCTGCAGCTCCATCAGCCCCTATGTTAATCCGGCCCTGGCTATGTCCTTTAATGTTTTCTCCCTGAATGTAAAGGGATAAAATAATCCCACAAGTGTAGATTGGCCCTGATATAAATGCACAGCTCATTGTGCCATTGTGTGTCTCCAGGAGGCACATCATTGTCATTGTAAGCTTCACCAATTAAAGCCACAAAATTCTCTACAAGCATTCCATACTGTCTCACAAACTATATTTAAGTGGGCATCAATTTTCTTTCATACTGATTGGGTGTTTCTGGTTTCTGCACAATATGTGAATTATATGGATCACTTTATAATGGTAGGCTCTCTGAATGGGTTTCAGGTAACTATATCATTCCTCTATGATTCAAATCAAGGTGCATTCAAGAATGAGGCCATTTGTAAGATTGTGAAACTGCGTTCAATTTTATATGTAGGAACTTTGACAGCACACTTGGTCCTGAAAGGACGTTTTCTGTTTTCTCCCAGTAGTTAGCCCACAAGGGGGTCACCTTATAAAAATTAAAAATAGGGGACTGCTCAGTCATAACTTCTCCAGAAAATGTTGGATTTTCTCTTAAAATAAGCCAAAACTCTAAAGTTATATATAGTTATGTATTTTTTTACATTTTGAATAAAAATGTTGTTAAATGTAATTAAAATGTACTTTTTAGACTGATAGACACAACTTTATGAGTATACAAGAGTACAGTGACAGATAACTATTTAGTTAAATATGTATTACAGAGTGGCTTATGACATTGACTATTGAGCCACAAGTGATTCTGCATTCTTATACTTCTAATTCCAATTTTGTATTTGATATGAAGAAGTTCTGTATCTATATATCATATATGCCCAAGGTTTTGGTTTATACACATTTTCAATCTGGGTTTTAAGAAATCGGGGTAGGAGATCACTTGACCTGGGCCTGGAACACAGGGGAGGCACAAATATTCCTACAGGTCTGTGAGTGCAATATACTGAGTGCGGATTTCATTTTACTGTACTGTACGCCACTATATACTGTTTAACGTTTTCCCTTGTAGATGCATAGTTGAATCCCAAATATATATATATATATATATATATATACACACATATTTCCTTTGTACAAAACAGACTGAGAACTCTATTCATTAAAACTAGACTCTACAATCAAGTGAACGCAGCTGGTAAAGGTTAAAGGTTTAGCTTGCAAGTTAAGATCTAACAGCAGATCTACTGCTTTGTTACATAGTGCCCGAGTGGTTATCAACTATTTATCTGAACCTCTCCCCCATGCGGTGGAGGTGCCAGTCTGCCCTGGGTTTCCTAAAACACATATTCTAGAACAGTACAATACTCTAAGCTTTCTGGAGGCAGGCATGATACCATATCATTCATCACACAGTTCTGCCTTCCATGTTCACCTGAATGCTTGCTACTGTACTTGTTTCCTCCAGAGATAAATGTTCCTGCCCTCATTGGTGGCAGTCATATTTTAACAGCAGTCAAAATAACTATAGCAAGAAAATGGAAGAGGACCTCCTCCCTGTTTTGATGACGGTTCTAATGGGAAAGCAGAGATTGCATGTAAATGTGTGGGATAGCTGGATAACTTCAAGGTGCTCTTATCTCAGTAACACACCAAACTGATCTCTGGACACAAAATATGTATTGGCATAACGGCAATAAAACTGATTATCACCCAAATTTAACTCCCCTACCTATACATCACTAACAGTAATGGCCATGAACTGGTTTTTCATAAATGTTATATGTTTTAAATATTGTATGTGCTTTGGACTTTTTTGCTAAAATATTTGACAGTAATAGTATATGCCATACGTAATATGGCCCTGAATAATATATCTTGATTCAGGGCAGGGGCAAGGCATTTTGGCTACACAGGTGAAGATGCATTTTAATCCCTCAATTTCCTCTTTGTTTGTCTAACACCCCTATATGTGTGTTTCTTAGTTCCCTTCAGCTTCTGTGTGTGTCTCTTTCACCTCTCAGCCCATTTGTGTATTTCCTTCTCCCCCCACCCACAGCTTTTTTTGTGTGTCTCCTGCTTCCTCTAGCTCCTCTGTGTTTCTCTTTCCCCCTAGTCCCTTTGTGTGTCTCTTTAATCCCCCAACCCCTTTTAGGTGTCTCTCTCTCCCCCAAGCCCTTCTGTGAGTCTCTTTCCCCCAGCACCTTTTCGTGTCTCCTTTCGCCTACCCCAGCCCATTTGTGTGTGTCTTTCACTGCAGCCCATCTTGTGTGTCTCTTCTCCCCCAGCATCTTTTGTGCATCTCTTTCTCCCCTTCCCTAGCCACTCTGTGTTTCTCATTCTTAACCCCAACCCCTCTTTTGCTTCCCCCCCATCCCCCTTGTGTGTCTCCTTCTCCCTTTCCCCAGCTTGCTCTGTACTTTCTTTCCACCCAGGCCCTTTTGTGGGGTTCTTACGCCAGCCACGTCTGTGTATCTGAGCTTCTTTAGTTTGGCTCTTTCTCCTGATCACATGTGTCTTCTTTCCCAATCTCCAACCCTCTCTGTGTGTCTCTTACCCCATAGCCTTTTTTGTGTGTCTCTTCCCCTAGCCCCTTGTGTGTGTCTCTTCCCCAGCCCCTTTTGTATGTCTCTTCCTCCTAACCACTTTGTGTTTCTTCCTTCAGCCCCTTCCTCCTCCCATTCCCTAGTGCTTGTGTGTGTCTATATCTCCCATGAAAGCCCTCTGTGTGTCTCCCCCACCGCCTCCTTTGAGTGCCTCTTTCCCTCCTGCCCTTTTTGTGTTTCTTGCCCCAGCCCCTTTTGTGCATGACTTTCTCCCATTTCTCAGCCCCTCTTTGAGTCATCTGGACGTTGTGCCCCCCAGCAGGCTGGTGCTCGCTAAGCAGCTGCCCATGCCTCTTTATGGTTGTGCCAGCCCTGTGTTGATCCTTCTACATACTTGACTTGGTATAATTGTGAACTTGACAACTCACTGTAAAAAATATATGTGTACTTCTATAATGTCTCTATGCCATGTCTCTGCGACCCTGCATTGTCTAGTTTTACAGCATACTTCATAAATATCTGTTGCAAAAAACCCTATTGAATAAAGATTTTTCTATCCTATTATGGATTATGAGCTTTATTCAGATGACAAGTGCACCTGAAATAGATCACAGTCTTTTAAAATACAGTATAAGCTGCTGAAGAGTTGCTTGTAACCACATGATGCATAATTTGCTTCTTGATACAGAAGACAAGTAAACGATTTCCAGATGTTCAGAACAGGTCATGATGCCTTAATTATCCACAATTCCATGCAGTGGGAGCTAAGAAACAGATTCTTCTGTTTTAAACATCTTTTTAATCACAGGTTTCTCCTATATCCAGGCTACACTCTGAGCACCGAAATCCGAATAGGTGAGTTCATCTTACATGCAAAATAGATCCACGGAATGCTGCTGGATCTTTGCAATGTTCCACAATTGTTCTAACAGCTTATACTCATTAGGCAGGCCATATGTAGCTGCTCTTAATTCCCAGCATGGACTTTAGAAGCTACCACCTTTTATTACTGTCCAGTGGAACCAATAATAAGAGACTTACTCAAAATATTCACTTTTTACTTCTTCAAGAAGACAATATTGTCTATTGGTTGCTTCAGCGGCTTGATGGGTAAGTGACTGAGGTTTCCGGTTGTCTTCAAAAGGGGAGGTTAAGATTCAGATTCACAAACTTCTTCAATAGAACTTATAATTACTGTGCTTCTCAAGGAATTCCAGTGGTCCATATCCTAACACAAAAGACACATGTCAAGTTTTCATGAATATAGAGAAAATCCCTTATAACAGAGTAAGAGCAACTAAAACATTACAAACAAATCTGTGTCCAGTTTAGACAAACATTGTTTTTATCATGAACCTGGTATTTGTGAGGTGTCTGATTTTTTTTTTTTAAACTCTTTAAGGTAACGTGTTTTGTGGTGACATCCAGAAGGAGAAATGGACCTTCCAGTTCTCAGAGATGCTAGCTTTTCTTGCATTCTGGCAAGCCAGGAGCCACGTTGATTTTCTCTTATAAATGTACGAGAGTAGAAAAAGGGTGTTTGTGGAAGATTCTGCTAGGTTCCAAGAAGCAAGCTTGAATTCAAATTACAGAGAAAGCTGGACATAGCTCAACTCATTGCACATGTTGCTACCAGCTTATACTTTGAACTGAAGCTTCCTTCTTTCCACAATGGATGTTAATAAACCACTAGATAGCAGATACATATATTTGATATCAGGTTTGTCTATTTTGTAAGTTAGTATCTTACTTTTGATCCACTAAAAGACACATTAGCCCCACTAGTGTTAGTTCCCGTAGCACTGTTAATGTACTGGCAATACTACTGAGCGCTCCCAGCACAGATGGTCCACACTTATAGATACACTAGCCCTATTAGTTACAATTGTAATGGCACAGTTGACCTGATATTAGAATATCACGTCTTACGAAAATAAATGAGATTTCACTGAGCAGTAAATATAGCTAACTATGAGCAAGGATTTGCAGTCTATTTAATTTCTGTATGTTTGTTGGCTTTAGAAGAACACAACAACAATAGAAATGCAAACCTGTATTCCAACACTATAGTGTTCCTAGTCTCTTTCAGCAGCCCACCGCTCCCTAGTCGCTAAAGAATGGGGAAAAAAAAGTTTTCCTTATCTTTTTCTAGCAGCGAAGCTCCCTTGGCACTGCTCACCTCTCCTCACTGGTGATGTCACATGGAGACAAGGCCTCCTCTGCCGATATTCTAATCCATTAGATGGATTGGATCTAATCCAATGCTCCTCAATGAGGATCATTCAAGCTTTCCCCATAGGATAGCATTGAATCAATTCTTTCCTATGGGGCTTCTGCAGATATAGGTTTCAGTGCAGGCGCCCTCACATCAGAGCTGCCTGCATTGAATACAGATAAGCGTGAGGATGTCAAACGTCAAATAGACAAATTTTACTCAGCTACTAACCAGGATGCCCCATCTAGTGGGTGTGATTATCACTGTATGTAAAACACTTTGGTTTCTCCAAAACTGCAGTGTTTTTCTGCACAGAGCTGAAACGACAGACATCAGAGCCTATAGTGTTCCTTTAAGCTGTCAGACGTTTAATCCAATCAATGCTGAAAAGCAATGTGCAGGGGTTGTTTTTTTTCTCATAGTTAATTGTGGTTCTATAAAAGTCATTTTGACCCCAAACAGGATTACGCACAAGTACACATATGACACATTTACCGTGAGCCCTGTAATGTGTGGATCATTGAGAAAAATCTCTTTCAGCTCATTTTTTGGTTTTGGAACTGGAGGAAAAATCTGTCCACAAATGTGAAATCTGAAAGGAAATTACATTAGTTTAGGAATGGGGTTTAAACCATCACTCATTTACATCTTGTAAAAAGAAAAAGAAAAAAATTACTAGAAATAGTTAGTGATGTCGCGAACTTGCCGCGAACGGTTCGCCACGAACAGTTCATGGCGAACTTCGGTCAGCTGACACATCCCTGCCAACCTCCGGCAGACCCTCCCTCCCAGACCCTCCTACTTCCTGGACAGCATCCATGTTGAAGGCAGCTTCAACATGGATGCTGTCCAGGAGGTGGGAGGGTGGGTCTGCCGTAGATTGGCAGGGATGTGTCAGCTGACCGGAATTCGCTGCGAACGGTTCGTGGCGAACCGCGGCGAACCGTTCACGGCAAGTTCGCGAACGGTTCGCGACATCACTAGAAATAGTCAAAAGATCAGAACTATGGAGCAATGTTTACATTACAGCTTGCTTAACTGGTAAGCCAATATTTACTGTGCATTCAGAAAGAAACCTTTTTTTTTTGCTTCTTTTAAAGTTGCAGCGATATGCTGCCTTTAAATTATTATTTCAAAATAAAAGAAACATTGCAAATGTATAAAAAAAAAAAAAACACTAAAACATCAAATTGGCATAAGTATTTAAACCCCATGCTATAATACTTGAAATGTAGTTCAACAGAGAGAGGATATGCCCATGACTAAAAATAATTTATCTTGTCTTTAAATAGACAAAAAAATTTAAAACAAGGCAAAATAAAAGTGGAAAAACTAAAACCAAAATCCACTTTAGGAGCAGGTATTACCATTCGAGTTAACAAATAGCATACATTGTTCTCAAACCTTTGGAGTTTTTTTTAAAAAAAAAAAATGCTTGTCCACAGGTACAGGAATTTTAACATGTCAGGATAAAAAAAATCTAAATTCTGAACTTTGTTCATTTTTCTTAAATTCGTTCCTGTAAGTTTTCTTGTAATTGTCCTATTTATAGTTAAATCCCCCCTCTAATAATATTGTAAAGCGCTACGGAATCTGCGCTACATAAATGGCAAAAATAATAATAATAATAATAATAATAATAATAAATAATTAGTCCAGGCACGTGAGAACGAGATGGAAATCTCTGTGCTAGTGGTTAGGGAGGCCACTCAAATGCCCATGTGGATATCTCTCTTGGTGAAGCAACAACTAAAATCAAAGACTGTTTAGCTAATCACAAAGCCAAAACAGATAAACCGTTCAAGAACATTTTATAGCAGAAAATCATAATTAATGATCAATTATGTGGCACCACTTAGAAGAGTGGTTGATAGAATCAAGTTACCAGAACATAGAGAGAAACACAGGTTTTACACTTTAAATGGTTTATATCCCAAAGGTCCTAAGCCAGAGTTTGACCATAATGTGTGATGTGTTAATAGAAAACTGTGATGTTTCCTTTACCAGTAGAAATACATCCACAGTGTGCCGTATGTACTATAGTTTTGATGTAAATATAGTGACTGATATCATTTATGAATTGATAGTGAAAACTTTGAAGAGTATGGATTGTTAATGTATCTACCATTGTTGAAACAGTATTGTAGATATTGGATTGATAGTATACATATGAACTTCAATTGGTAATTAAGTATGTACTGATATTCATTCCATTAATGCTCTTATTGTACATTTGTTATAGTTTTGTTCTTTCTTTGAATATTGTTAAATATAGAGTCACATTATGAGACCATTTGGAACAACAGTGGTTTGGTCTGTGTATTTGAGGAAGGGAGTAAATGAAACCCTGCAAGACGAGATCACT